AGAGCTGAGCAGAAATCCCTCTCCCAGTTCAGCAAAGCAGCGTCGGGGGAACCATCCTGCAAGCAAACAGGCCGGGCAGATGCACACACATTCACACTCACACGAACAATGCCATGGACACACACACACACAAAACTCTGTGTGTGTGTGTGTGTGTGTATGTGTGTTCCAGAGCATGTCCTCAAACCGCCACGGTGCCTGCACTTTGTGGTTCTTGTGCCCCCATATCTCGTTCTTCCACACATACTGGAAGATTTGCACAGGTAGCCAACACAGAAGGGGGAGAGGGCATGCAGAAGAGAGGATGGATCCTGTGTGCGTCTGGATTGCTCACGTCAATGACGTTGAAAATGAGTTGGTCCGGCAGAGCAGGCAACGCTTTCGACACCGACGACGGTTCTCCCACCTTCCAGACTGTCGTGCCTCTTCCTCCTCCTTGCCCGCGTCACTGGCAGGCCTCTTCACCTCCCGCAGGCGAGACGCCACGATCGACTGGTTGCCCTTGGTGCGGGGCCGGAATGTGCGCAGGGAGGGTAGAGGGAGTGGGATCCTGCTGTTGGGGGCCGGGAAGACGGGTGGGGGATGGCATGTCTTCCTCGGGGATGTAGTCGCCTGGGCTTACGACGTACATCTCATACTCGTCGAAGAGCTCCCCCACTTCCTTCTCGGGTTCGATGGTTGTATCGTCAACTTTGATCCCCTCGACGGCGTCGGCGAAGACCTGAGCAGTTATCAAGAGCTCGTTGTCGTCACAAATAACCTGACAAAAATAGCAAAACACAAGGTAGCAAGAGGCAACAGGAGTGATTGCGCATGAGAGTCATCCTTCCTCAGCGAAAAGTACCGGGTCGGCCTCCCATCCGTCGTCAGACCGCTCACCTTCACTCTCCGTGTCCTCTGGCGATGGTGCCGCAGCAGAAGCAGCAGCAGCGGCAGACGAGCTCGGTTCTGATTTGCGCTTCTGCCTTTGCAAGTGAGAATCGAATCAGTGATGAAACACTCAGAAGGCTAAGCGGAAATTGTCCAGTCAAATGCAACCCTGGGGCTCATGTGATTGCGTTGGGTACTTCCTCTACAGTTTCGATTTCCACTGCATGGAGAGGACCAGGTCTGACATGAAATTTTGACGTGCACCTGGGAACTTACAGTGGGAAGCTTGCCTTTTGTCTCGCGAAGACGCGGCTGCATTACATGGTCCACCAACAAGACGGCGTGTCTCGTCCGTGTAGGCTGTATATAATTCTTTTTCTTTGTTTGGTAAGCAGCTAGGAAGAGGCAGATATTGAAATCACACGCGATGAATGCAAATAAGTCTGCCAAGTTTCTCTCTGTCCAGGAAGAAGCCAGACAAATCTGCGTCCCCAGCTGTATGCTGGACTACGACAACCCCCATACCTAACACACACACACATACACACGCACACACGCACTCGTGTGCAATCATGCTGCTCTCTACAGCCCACCGAGTTCTCAAACTGTGTCATTTTTCTCAGGTTGAGTCGTGCTCGAGAAGGCGGTGGGCCAAAAGAACAGACAGGCGAATTCCTGTTATCCCCAGCAACGACCAGATTGTTTTTCAAGCTTTCGAGAGACAAGGCAGACTCACCTGTACAGCGAACTCACTGACTGCTGTCGGAGACAACAAAAACACAAACATAAGGCATCCGTGGAGGGAAAAGACTCCTCTTACCGTGATATCAGATGAGTATGCACCAGGGCCAGGAGAAGCATCAAAACCGCCACTGCGCAGCTTGGGCGCCTTGGTGAACGACACTCGAATAGAGTTCGGATCAGGCGTAATATATATAGGAGGGCCGGGGCCTGAAAGGGCAGCATTGTTTACAGCCGTGTTTGCTTCGTGTTTGCTTTCTTGCATTGGAACGTGTGCACACCTGCTCCGAATGAGCCCTTAAATGCCTTATCCATGCCCGGTGTGACAACCTTCTCATAAGCCTGTCGTCCCACGCCAAATGACTTGGCTAGCCGATCTTCGAAGGATGACTTAGAAATATCATAGTGGCCTGGACGAAAACGAGAAAGGGAAGAAAAAGACATGGCTTGTATCTCGTGTGCGTCATGATCCCTGTGAAGGGCAAGCTACCTGGTCCGACATTCCCACTCTTGGCTTGTCTTTCGCGCGCCAGGGACTCAAACCTGAATAGCGAAGCAGAGACAGATATACACGAGAACACCGAGCTGGTTCCCCTCAAGGAAAAAATGTCCCTCACCTTTTCTCTGCTCCAAATCGACATGTCGTCCAGCACGGGAATTTCAGCGCCGCAGCGGACACATTGTACATCTTGCTGGGGCTGAAAACGACGTCCACAAACGAAACAGGGCACGATCCATGCCCGCCGTTCCTTGCGGAGGGCCTTTGTCTCACCCATCGGTCGGCATGCTGAGTGGCGGACGTCTCGCCTTCCCTGCATGAAAACACGCAAAAGCCATCGAGTTTACTGTTTGGGCTTCCCAGACATGGATGGCACCGAATCGGATGAGGCCTCGTTCCGACTTTTCAGCTGGATACTGTGGAATGTAGCTACCTGTAGGTATCAATCTGAAGGCCGCTGATCAGACCAGACGTGCTCTTACCTGCGCCCGGCGTGTCTCTGCACCTCAAGTCCTGAAAGTGTGAGAACAATCCAGTATCGCAGCCCTGCAAGGGAACCATCTACTGGCTCACCGAAAGATGATTTCTTGTAATGATGACTCGACTCCAACTATTTATATTTCTGATGATCAAAAAGCTGTGAAGCCACACAGGACCTTAAGAGATGTACCTCTCAAGGATGGGAGGGGAGGGAGCATTGCTTCTGCTGCTGAGTACTTGACTCCCGAATGAGCTTGGCATTACATAGCTGCCTGGACCTGCACAGGCATAAGTCATCTTGCAGCTTATCGTCATATGCAGTACCTGGATCCAAATCTTCCTCCTCCAGAGACGTGAAGAGCGTGTGATACGACGTCCTTGCATGGCTCAATCCTTTAGTCTGCTCGCCAGTGACGGATGAGAGGAAGGGAGTACTCTTGCTGTCCGCGAGGGGTGAGCGCTTTCGCGAGGCCGAAACAGGCTTCGTAGAGGGCGCCGTGGAGGTGAACATTTTTCGTCGGGGATGGGGGCGCCCCTGGGGGCACTGTGCCGAATCGGATCCCCCCGAGTCGGATTAAATCTCGGGCCGCGGACCAGTAGGCCGCTGAACAGCACATCGGGACTGTCGAACAGCACAAAGCTGGAATCGAACTTCGATTAAGCACGAAAACTGCCGGGATTTCTTGCGTTCCTGATGCTCACAGCCTTCTCGCTTCACCACGCAGCCAGTGGCCACGCAGCTGCGCAGTCTGCACTGCGCAACGACACCAGCAGACATCTCCATTGCAAAAGGACAGATCATTCATCCAAAAAGACAGCTTCTTGACCAAGCAGCCAACTTGCTTCTGACAGGCTGGCCTTCTCATGCAGCCTGACAGTCTTGAAGGCACAATGACAGCCTTTTGACCAGCCTGACAGCTGCTGTGCGCCGCCACTCCTCGCACAGCAGGTCGCGCCGCCAGAGAAGGTTGTCGCCGTAGGGGTTCAGCTGGGTGCCAATTCTCAGACGGCCAGGTGAGTAATACTTTGTTATGGGCGTAACATGACCACAACCGTATTAAACGCATATACAGACGCTGTGACACTGTCACTTTTAAATGTTCCCAACATTCCATCCCATACAGATCAGTTAAATCGTGTACCAACCAAGTATTTATCAAGACCATGGATTTTCTCAAGATGCTCGCCGAACGAAAGCCTCGCCCCACATCCATTCCCATGGAGGAGGACACAGCTTTCCGAGAGAGCATCGTCAACCACTGGAGCCAGCTCCTGTCCGTCGAGCTGATGAAGCACAACGCGTTTCAAGTGGCGAGTCGTGCGCAGCGCGCGGCGGCCGCCAGAGGGCCACGGAGGGCCAGCGCGTTTTCGGAGGACTTCGTCAGCCGCGGGCCATACAGGCCACACACCAGCCCCGCTGCGGGGCTGTAAGGTGGCTGGCTGGACCTGGGTTCTACATGTGCGTGTCATGTTGCATGTCTCGCGCTTGTTTGCAGTGTGCGACATCTATTTTCGCAGTCAACGAGCGCTGTCCATATGTTTCTGCATGTATTGTTTCGCTTCATTTGCTTGATACGAACTGATGCTTAGACGAACTTCGTCGCCCGTTTCATGCATCTACTAAGTTATTAAATCGACGAATTACTGCCTACCTAGCCACCTGCTGCAATGGACCAGTCACCCGGTACACAGTTTTTCCTTCGTCTGCCTACACGGCATATCACACGCCGCTCACAGAACCACAACCGACGCACAGTCTCACAACACATTCATGTGCACTAATTGTACACATCTTATAAAATCTGACCTGGCTGCCGCAGAGTGAAAACGCACCCACTGATTCACTCATGCATCGAAGCACTGTCAGTATGAAGACGATCGACTGGCACATACACGCCTGCATGATGGATTGCATACCCACCCACGCACCCACAAGCAGGGAGAACGACACAGCAAGACTAGGCTACATTACACTGCACTACGCCCGAATCTATATATCATTCACCAGACACTTAGACACTATATCATTCACCAGTCAGTTAACGCTTTTTGAACACAGCAACACAGCTTCGATCGACCAACGCCCATCAGACAGGCGAACCATGCAAAAGCAACACACGGGCGAATACAGACATCCAGAAAGCACACCACCCGGCCCAACCCAACCCGCCTCTCGGCGACGGCCCTCACACGCGGCCACCTCCGCCGCTCTGGTTCGGCTCTGTATGCGTGGGGGATGTTCGGATGACTTGACCGCCATTACAGCAGGGCATCAGCCAGGCCAGGTCAGGCCTCTCCCTGCTATTGCGTGCGTAGGGGCAGTTGCGACTGACGTAGCACCAGGGCGTATACGTCAGTCGCAACAGGGGCACAAGGCCCGCCTCCCATATGGCACACGTACCACCCTGGCCGTATTGGTTTCGTTGGCCAGCGCAGGCACACGCACCAAAGCCACACGGGTTCTGCAGCTGACGTCTCTCAGCTTCACTCTCATCGGCAGCTGCAGGCAGGCAGGCAGGCAGGCAGGCACACACGTGAGCGCCGTCTCTGCAGAGTCAATCTGTCTTGCTGGCTTCTTCTGCCTGGGAGACTCTCACCGCTGGGGTCCATATCGATGGCGTCCGTCGAGGCATTCACAGATCCGCGAAGCGCCTGAACACGCACACACAGAGACGGCTGCAGGCTGACCGAATCGCTCAATTGTTGCTGGCTGGGTGATGGACGTTGCCTACTGTCGTGTTGGTGGCATGCTGCTGCTGCTACCGCATCGGATGTGGCGGGAGGGTCAGCGCACATAGCACGATCTTCATGGTCGTCAGAGGAGGATGGAAAACAACTCAAGTCTCCCTCAACGTAATGTCGGTGTGAGAAAGCACTATAGGCGGGGAATACAGTGAGTGACGCACAGATGCTATTGCACTGCAAGTGCCGACAGATGTTTGAAAAACCAAAGCAGGCAAGCGGTCTGAGTCTGAGGGTAGACAGAATGTATGCGAAAGACACGTAGACAAAGAGAGCTCTCCCTGTCGCCTGTCTTTGCATCGCAGGACGGCTGCATCGCAGATCTGATGCGAGCTAGGCAGTCCTGGGCTGATGCGAGCTAGGCAGTCCTGGGCTAGGGATGAGAGCGTAGAACGTTTTCAACCGTCTGAGGCACGGATGAGATGGGGGTAAGAGAGATTCGAGAGGATGCACTGCTGTGCTCTTGTGTGTTCTGATCTGAACACCTGTGTGTGCAGATCTGAAGATCAGCACGCCTCTGAACATCTGATGACCAGAGGCGTCACAGCTGTGTGGGGTTTCGGCGACTTCTTGGAGAGGGGGAGAGTGATGCAGTTCCTTGCTGTGGCCCTCGCCGCTTGCATCACGGCCGTTCATGCAGATACCGTCAGCGTTCCGAAAGAAATTCGTGCGCTGCTTCCACATGAAGCCGACAGGTGGGAATTGAAACACACATGCACCTTGATGTGTGTGGAATTTTGCTTTTGTTGGGTCAGGGATGCTTTGCCTGGAGGTTTCTCCTGCTACGAGGTGAGAGTGAGAAGTGGCTCCCAGACATCTGATTGCTGTGGGTCTGTGTGTGTTGCAGTGGGACGTTGTGTAAGTCCTGTTCACAGGCGACTGACAAATGAAGGGCCGACAGTATGACCCTACATCTGTGTTGCTCGCAGGTACGAAGGTCACGACATTGAGATGCTCATGGGACAGGTGAGAGAGCACACACTCAACAAGAGGCTGTTCGACGAATAGCTTGCTTCATAGCTTGTCTTGTTGATACCGCCAGCCCCATATGGTATCAAGACCCTATGACTGTGCGCGCGCGTGTATCCATGATACTCGTTGCAACGCTTGGACGTGGATCCAAGAGGGGTCGCCACGAGGCTGCCTCATGAAGAGCAGCGACGAGGGGAGGCGGCCCAAGCGAGAAGTTGAGTCGGGCGTCGACACCGCGGGCAAGATAATCGTCAGGTGGAAGAGGCGTGCATCGGCTGATCAATGGACGCCAGTAAAGAGAGTTGTATGTGTGTGTTTGTCGTCATCAGTGGAGCAAAGCAGTCTCTGGATTGCGACAGAGGTGGGTGAGGCGGGCACGCAAGCAGAATTGACGTATTGATCGTTCTTGCGTATCGACTATGTTTTCTGTCTTTGTATATTGTTGTCCTGGAGGTGGCGTTCCCTCTGGTTGTTTCGAGAGGAATGTGGCAACTCTTTGGTACCAAGGAGACCGGTATGGCGCATGAGAGACCCACTGGCCTCACTGCTGGTGTGCTCTCTCTCACTCACTCACTCGCTCACTGACTCACTCACACAGGTCAGGATTCGAGCAGGGCAGTGTCCTCTCCTACGAAGGTAAGGCCACGCACAAGATGAACACTAGAGCCACCGATGTCCTTCGGCTCTGTCTGTGGATGGTCGTTGTCGCAGAATGTCACGAACGATGTCATCAAGCAGTACGAGGGAAACGGGAAAGATGCCAAAAGATGACATTTGCATGGGCATTCTGCGTACGTTTGGTCAGCCCATATGCACTCAGTTCAGTTGGTACGAGAGATGGCCGCGCGACGGGAAAATCGTCGAAGGCGGTAATCGAGAGGACACGAGAGAAAAGGGAAAATCCCGCTCGCCGATTTTCTCTGCTGTCATGTTTGTCAGCGTGTTTCCTTCGCAACACTGACAGAGCCCGAGTGTGCTTTCCTGGAGCAATAGCGGGCAACATAGAGGACAGAGATTGTGGGGCTGGCAACGCTACTGTCCCGCAGCCTTACTTGCCGCCTTTTCACGAGGACGGCCACAACATGGAGCCCGCTGATCCCCGTCTATATTATGGTCAGAGCACTCGAGCATGACTGTGATCCATCCGTCCATCCGTCATGGCTGGCTTAATCTCAGGTCTCCCGACTGACCCAGAGGCGCGTGGTAAGTTCCACACACAGATTCGGCACCGCACCAACAAGAGTCGTGCGCTCCCGCATTGTATTACTCTTGGCGTCTCGTTGACAGCGTTTGGGAGGAGAGGAAGTAAAGAGGAGAGGAACTTTCACAGAGGCGACCTAGGCAAGTGGGGAATCGAATATTTGACCGAAACTGTCAATGACGCTCTGAGTTCTGTGTGGCACAGGGCTGCCGCCATCGCTGCAAGTGACAAAACCCTACGCAATAAGGTCGAGCGAGCTTCGAGATCCCCCAGCGCATTGCGGGTGGTGAGTGCATTATCGTCTTGTGGAGAAGCATTCAACTCTTTTTGCCTGGGTTTGTAACAGTTACACGATTGGCGTTGAGCCATCTCCGAATGCTTCGGCAATTGTGCGCGACTTGCCCTTGTAAGTGGCGAACGGCAGAGATATTCATGAGCGCGTAATGGCTTAGGATGCGTCTTCTGTCCGTGTCCATCGATGATGCAGCGCTTCATCTGTCGAGGAGTGCCATGGGTAGGCGCGCAACGCTTTCGCACTAAGTTTGAACTCTTCTTGCTTCTCGCTTCTGTTCCTTCCTGCAGACACGTAAGCCATGTCTACATGTCCATCGATTCCCGACGCCTTTTCCTTTCACTTCTCTCTCCCTCTCTCCTGCCAGTGCTTGAGAAATCCAGACTGTGAGGCATTTGTCGCTTTACCCCGAAGATGTGTTCTGCATGCCAACGTGACCAAGTGGGTATTGGACCAGGTCGAGGTAAGCCGCGTGCACGCACCCACAGGATGCCGCCAATCCATTTATTTTCAAGTCTGACATCATGCAATGTGCAGCCCATTGCTATATCTGGTCCCCGCTACTGCCCTGAGGATCTGATCGAGCAGGTACCCTCACGATCGGATTTCCACCCAACATGTGTACATGAATGACCCCAGGGCTTTCGCTGCGACCTCGACCACTACCGCTCTCGGTGAGACGACACCCCTGCATGTTCGGTTGCATGTGTCTGATTTCTTGTCATGCTGTAGGTTCACGTCTCTGTCGCTCCTGGTCTTGAGCGTCCCAAACACAGCGCAGGCATACGGCAAGCCGTGCCCCTTTGACATCTCGGCCTCGCCCTTCATTGCGCTGTTCATCGTGGTGCTGGCCGTTTTATTCACCGCCGCGGCCGCGTACCAAAGCCGCAAGCGAAACGGGACGACAGTTATATGGTACAAAAAGACGAAGCCGAAGGGGCCGATCCGAGCTGTCATCTTTTGTATGTGTGTGTCATCCTTTGTACCAGGCGCGTGATGGCGGCCGTGTTGGCCGCACTGGGTGCCTTGGTGCACGTGGTGTTTGTCGGCTTTCTCTTCGCTGGCAGCGACACCGGCCTTCTTTTTTGGTGTGGAGTTGCACACCTGCTTCTCATGATTGTGTTCAATGAGGTATCTATCCTCTGCAACGATTGTGTCCGTGTTTTGTGACGTCCTGTGTTGATTTCTTGCTGTGTCCAGTGCTTTATGGTGTGGAGGAACATTCAATGGGTGAGGTTACGAGTCAGGCATACCGATCACTTTGCCCTCTCACTGGCGTGCTCCCCACACCTTCAGGTGAAAGCTGACCCCTTCTACCGCAGTTTCTTTCTTCAACGCCCAGCCCCCTCGCGTCGATCGGCCCTGAAAGAGATGTCGAGTTTTGACACGGCAATCGTGGACAACAAGCCCCGTCGCTCGGTGACGTTCCACGGCACTGCTTTTCCCCTGGGGCCTGATGATCCCTGCAATAGCAGTGGGTCCGTGACTACCATCCCAGTGGAGGAGCTGCTCGAATTCCCATCTCGTGACGCGGAATATATGGTTGCCCACGGCCCGGAGCACTCTGCAATCCCAGTGGCCACTGAGAGCGGCCGGAGCAACGCCAGCTACCTGTCATACTGTCCATCTTTCGCCATGAGCATGCTGTCGGATGACACCGTCTGGCCCTCTGGCGTCACCCCCGCGCAGGATCAGCAGGAGGGCAGACCAGCACCGATAGCAGAGGACGGCGACTTTTCCCGAGCTGAGCAGCAAGGGGACAGGATGGCCGTCCTTCCTCAGCCCCCGAAGCAGATGACGACAGCCCCCGTCATGCTCTCCGTCCCCGACACCCCGAGCAAGACCGACAAGGCCGGCAGGATGTTGTCGTCGCTGCCCAGCAACGCTGATTCATTCAAGCTGTCAAGCAACGACAACATCCCGCCTTCCACGCCAACCACCAACGTCCCGACCACCAGCATGAGCGCGGCGGGGAGCCTCGGCAAGTCCAGCGTGCCAGAGACCCACTTCGAGCACCACCTGCAGAGTTTGTCGGTGGAGGGGATGGGCCCCTACGGCGGTCAGGGATATGGTCTGGTCTTCGTGCTCTTCGGTGAGCCAGCCACTCAGAGAGAAAAAAGGAGACAAGGACGGAAGTCGAGGCAGGGCAGGACGGGGCGGGGGGGATTCGTTGGCGAGTTTCACGCTGATGGTATGTGCCTCCTTGTCTGTCATTGCAGGTTCATTCTTCAGCATCAGGTGTGCCGAGCACCAAGGAAGAGAGATACCACTGTGTGTATGCGTGTGCTGACTGTGGGTGTGATCATTAGTGTCCTGAATCTTTGCTGGTCTCACCTGTGGAGCCTGCCCTTCTTCGCCATCCCACTGCCAAGTGATGACTTTGAGGTACCCAGCGACACCACCAACACAAGAAGCACACTGACATCGACCACACTGCAACATGTCATGGACACCACGTTGTCTCATGTGACGCCTTCAGAGGGCGGAGCCTTTCTCCCTTGTCGGCACAGGCCCGATGCTCGCCATTCAGGTCAGATGGTGGCATAGCGCGTACCTATTGAATCCACCTCAGTGTGCCCTGGGATGGTTGTGTGGGTCAATCAGCTTCTGACGGTGTTTCTCGCTGACAGCGGTGAGGGTATCTGGGCGCATCACGTGCCTGAGATCAGTCTGGCGGCGATCGTGCTCTCGGCGGCCAATATTCTTTTCCTTTTTGTCAACCAGTGGCGCCGTCTGCATCGAAGAAAAGGCCTGTAGATAGATAGACAGTCTGTGGGCGGACGGACACCAATGCAACGCAATGCAATGCATGGGTTTTATACTTACTTATATGCGTGGTTCACCTCTCTCGTACTCGCGAGAGTAAGTGTGTGGTTTACAAATGTGTGTGAGTTTGGGTCTCTCTCTCTCTCTCTGTCTTTCGGTCTCTCTGTCTGTCTGTGGGGGATCTACTTCTGTCGCATTTCGTCCGCCTTCTTGTGCGTCTCTGTGGGTGGGGTGCTCTGTCCGGCTTTTGTCAAGGTCTGTCTGTCTGTCTGTGTGTCTTCTGGTACGTTCCTCTCCTCCACGTGTGTGCGGTGCGGTGCGCCGCTTGTGCGCACGTCGATGTGTGTGCCGTCTCAGCCCCTGCGTGCTGTTGTTCTATCGCCTCTCTCTGTGGCGTTCTGATGGCTGTCTCGATTGGCTTGGCCTCCCTCTCCTCTCTCCCGATACCGGGGGAGACGTTTCTTTTGTTGTTTGATGTTTCTTTTGTTGTTTGATGCCTGCGCTGCACGCGCAGACAGGCTTGAGTGAGTGTATATCTCCCCCTCTGTCTGCCTGCCTGCCTGCCTGCCTGCCTTTCTCACTGGCCGTATTGCTCATTGAGATGATTGGTGCGCTTGTGTGTAGTCGTAGTCGTAGTGGTCGTGCAGTGTTCAACCCAGCTGCTGAGTGGTAGGCAGCGTGCCTTCGGTGGTGCTTGGTTGATGTTCTGTCTGGGCTGGAGTGGGGCGCTATGATGATGGCCTGTACTCTCGTTTTGAGTCATGATTTTTTGAGGGCGGATGCATGTTGGACATCTGTGTTGTCATGGTGTGACGTCTGTGTTTTAATGGATGGTGTACTGCGTGTGCGACGTGCCGTGGTGGCACGGGAGCAGGGGGCATTGTAAGACGCGATACGAAGACACGCAGTAGATAATTTTTTGGTGACAACTGCGCTGATGCGCTTGTCATGGCGTGGCGGTTCGACGTCACTCACACTTGAACACATTCACATTCAGTCATCCTCAGATGCCGTCTCTTGTGCCTGTATGCAGACCTTCTCTCAAACAGCCAGCTAGCTATAGCTCTCACGCTCTCCCCCATTCAACTTGAACACATTCACATTCAGTCATCCTCAGATGCCGTCTCTTGTGCCTGTATGCAGACCTTCTCTCAAACAGCCAGCTAGCTATAGCTCTCACGCTCTCCCCCATTCAGAGCCACATTAAAGACACAAGTACATAAGCAGGCATCAGCCAACAAATACAGATATACACAGGCAGGCAGGACGCTGTAGAACTACAGCCCAACAGAGACAGAAGAATCCATGCATAACACACAGGAGACAACACTACTACATAAGACAGCAAGATACAGATGCGATGCTCTACACGTGCAGTGACAAGACGAACAACAACCCATCCAACATAACAGTAGACAAGACGTTCTACAAGACGCTTTACATTCTTGTTGCGATGGTGCGATGGTGCCACGCAGCTGTCAGAGGTAAGAAACGAGTTAAGAAACACGCACACGCCCATCCCCAGCAGAGTATACAACACAGGAGCTGCAGACAATGTGCGAGTGGCTAACAAAACGAACGCCGTACGTGTGCTCTGGTGTAGCGTGCCGTGCAGTAAGAAAACGCCAACCACATCAAACCACCATCACATCACATGGGCGGCACCACATACCAACCACACCAGCAGGCAGGCAGCCATCCATCCATCGGTCACGTCACGTACGGTCCAGTTCGAATACATTTCGGAGCCGACCGCCCCCACCACCCTCTAAACTTGCTGCTGCTTCAACAGGGTGTTCTGACACAACACCCACGACACAAGCGCACACACACAGAACAGGTGGGTGTGGTGTGTATGGTGTTGGGTTAGTTGTGCGCGCACCGCACCTTGCCGAACTTCTTGAAGAAGCCCCCCTGCTTTGCGCCCGCGTTGTTCGTCCCCGCCTTCTTGATCATCATTGCTGCACCCACACACGCGCACACATGACACGAACAGACAGCGAGTGCGTTGAGGGTCTCCTCCCTCCCTCCATTCCTCCCCTCCCTCCGTGCAGTGCCGTGCGTACCAGGGTCCTTGCAGGCGAAGATGGCCATGCAGGAGACTTCGTCAAACTCGTTGACGACCGCGCCGTTGACCTCGATGTCGTAGCCGATCTGGAAGGTCAGCTTCTTAGTCTCGGTCATGGCCGACGAGCCCGGCAGGCACTTCAGCGAAAGAGTGCCGCCCACGTCGCTCGTGCCGTCCGCTATGATCGCATCAGACGGCTGACATCACAGCATAGCACACACCACACACAGCACAGCCAGCACACCAGCCCACACACACACAACACGATGCGCAACACCACACCACCTGGTGCCCACCCGTCCCACCCACTTACCTTGAAGACGACCTTCTTGCCCTTGAAGCTCTCGCCGAGCGTGACTTTGCCTCCGCCGAGGGGCTTCTGTGAGATTTTGCTGTTCTTGTCGTAGACCTTGAAGGAGGTGGTCCTGACGCCCTTGATCTCGCCGTTGGACACGGCATCGAGCGACACGCGCACGAAGTGGCCCCGGCCGCTCAGCTTGATGGACGCCTCGCCGCCGATGGGCGCCTTGACCTTCAGGGCGGACTGCTTCGGACAAGACAGCTTGCGATTCGGCGGCTCGGTAGGCTCATCCTGACACACACGACACGAGGAAGGGGACCACACAAAACACAGACAGGGAGGGAGTGAGAGAAGCAGAGACACTCGTGCAGTTTGCTGTGCTGCGTGCCCACATCGCCCAGGGCGTCCACGATGATCTGCTGAGCCGCACCTGAGAGCACAAGACAGTCAGCAGCCACAGGGGAGGGAGAAGGTGGTGTAGGCGCACAGGAGAGCACCTCGGCTCGTGTCTGTCTGTCTGTCTCTGTCTGGCGTGCTGCGGGCGGTGTGCTCACTGAGGGTGACGGCGAGGAGGAGGAGGCAGCCGAGCAGCTTCAGCAGAGCAGCCGACATCGTCGTGTGGGTGGGTGGTTGGCGGAGAGGGAGGGAGAGGGAGGGAGGGAGGCTGTGGACCAAGAGGTGTGGAGCACGAAAGCGAAAAGAGAGAGAGAAGGGAAGCAAAGTACGAGCAAAGGCTGAAAGGAGGAAGGCTTCGCTGGTTTCGGAATGGCCGGCGTTTCTAACGGCGCGCCGTTGGAAACGCTCCCGGAATAATAGTGCGTCGATCCACTTGACGTCAAGCTACTCGCATATTTCCGACGGTTGTGTTGGCATTTCGTGCGATTGAAACCCCATGATCCGATGGCATGGGTTCCAAATCCCACGAAACGACAGTACGACCGTCGGAAATATCCGAGATAGAGTATGTCACAAAGCTAAGCCAGCCCATGAACGGACTCTTCGTTCTCAAACCACACACGGGCAGGCAGACACGCGAATGTCTCTGCCCGCCGTCTCATTGAGACCAACACACGCGCACACGCGCCGTCACTTGCTCAAAGGGACAGAAAGGAGGCAGACCCACGCGCCGCCCGCCTGTGTCGTGCTCTGCGGCTCTACACACTCAAGCTCAGCTGGCTTCAGTGGCCCCACTCGCATCTCCCTCTTCGATGGCGGCCTGCAACAGACACATGCACACGCACGGACCTCAGAGGCAATCGATGAAGACCCACAAGCAGCTGAGCTGTGGCTGACCTCTTCCTCAGCTATTGCGGCATCGTCTGCCACCTCGCCGACGACCTCGTGGTCCAGGTTGACCTTTGGCAGGCGTCCCTCCCTCTCGAGCTGCTCCCAGTATGCGTCGAGGTCGAATGTGTAGGGGTCGTCCACCACCGGCACGGCGTCCATCGGCACCGCATTGCTGAAGTCGCGGTTGAACTTGCGCACGTCGATGCCCTTCTCCAGCCACTTGTCGACGTTCTTCTGCCACTGTTCAGCCCTGATCGAATCGACAAGCACAGAGAGGTGGTGATGGGGGTGTTTGTGTGGGTGTGTGGATTGGTTAATCTCTCACTTCCAGATGTCCATTTGTTTGTCGAAGTCTTCCCTGGCCTCCTCGGCGCCCTCCTCGCCGAATGGCTCCATGAGTTTGATGAGGACCTTGCTCTTGCGTGTGGTGGTCCACCAGACCTTCCGCAGGTACGCCTCCCTCTTCTCGTCACGCTCCTCACCGCTGTGGATGTCTTGGAACAGATTCAAGTAACGGTTCAGCTTCTCGGCATCCATCGCGATATACCTGACATGACACACCGCACCACACCACACCACACCACACCGCGGCACACCGCACATGTCACCTCACCCATATATGCTCGTGCGAAACTCTTTCTCTGACTCTGTCTTGTGGCTGACCTCGTGTATTTCCTGAGTGCGAGGCAAGCCTTCTCGACGTCCTTGGCGGCAAGTGCGTCGGTGAAGTCCTTGTTGGCCTTGTCGCGGATGGCGGGGTCAGGGCGACGCGGCTCAGACAGGTAAGGCGACACTTCATCGAGCTTTTGCTGAACAAACAAACCAACCAACCAACCAGCGAACAACGAAGCCACCAACCAAGGAACACACACAATGACGCATCCACCCATGGCTAAGCTCGTGCCTCCCTCCCTGCCTCCCTCCCTCGGGCTGACTGACCTTTCTCTTCATCTTCCATCTGTTCTTGGCAAGGTGCCTTGGCTTCAGAGCGCCGTGTTCCCAGAGACCGTCCCAGACGGCACTGAAGCGCTTGGCGAATTCAAAAGCCGCCCGCTTGTCCAGCAGCCCGCTGTCTGCCCGCACGGGGTAGACGGGGATGAGCCTGACGCAGTTGTGTAGAATGCGCGAGGCCTCCTCCTTGGTGAAGACGTCTGGGTTGTCTCTGAGCAGCCGGTAGACGGAGCGGAAGTCGTCCTGGAACATGAGATACTCCATGTTCTTGAGCAGCACGTCCTTGTCGGTGATGCGGCCGTAGAGGTGGTCGATCTGGTATATGTCCACGTCGTCACGGTCCCTCAGACGCGTGTTGTAGTTGATGTCCTCGGGGCTGCGGCTCTCCAGCAGCCTCTCGTAGTCACGCGGCACCTTCGGAGGACGCATCGTACGCGGAATCGTCACCGTCGGCATGCCCATCCGCAGAGTGCTCCTGCCTTCGACGCCGGTGGGGTGCCGTGGCGGGCGTGCAGATGCAGAGGGAGATGCAGACGGGGAGGGGTAGAGGGGGGCAAGGGGGGAGGCTGGTGGTGGTGAGGCGGGGCGAGAGGGAGGGGAGAGGGGGACGAATGCTGACGGTGTTCGAGTGAAAGATCTCGACTCCACAAGCGGTGCCAGCAGCCCGCACAAACAAACGGCAGGCCACATCGTCTCTGCCGTCTTCCCACCCGCCCCACCGTGCGTTCCAGCGTTCAAAAAAGAAGAGGCGATCGGCTTGCGAGCTTAGCATGCAGAGAGGGGAGGGCCAATGACTCTGCTCATCGCCTCCGTGATGCAGCTTGCAGCATGCTCCCGTGCAGATCTATCCTTTGTGCCGTCACGATCACTGCAGCGGCCAGCAGTTCCCAGGCGACCGGGGAGAAGGGCATTGCAACGCTTGAGCATGGATCTCCACAGCGTGAGGGACCACTCTCCCCTTAGACGAGAGAGAGAGAGGAAAGAGCCGCATGACTCAACGAGCAGCCGGAGGGAGCTCATTTCTCAGCGGCTTGTTGGTGCTGGGACCACTTTGGCGTCTGCAGCAGTAGGATGGCATGTGCTCACATTGCCCAAAGAGGTGCGGTAGATGCACTGCACTCGGCGGGCGGAAAGGCACTCGATGTTCGCACATCAAGCTGCTTGTAAGTGTCTGGCTGTTGATTGATGGATGGTGCAGGCGTGTGCGTCGTCCGTCCTGTGTGACGAGACTGTGGCTATTCTACGAGACCGCCAGACGGGGAGGGAGGTCGTCCTCGTCGGCACAGCACATATCTCGACCGTCAGGTGCCTGCCTATACCCACCCACTCGATCAGCTCGGCCTCATACCTGTCTGCCTGTCTGTCTATCTGTCTGCCTGTCTGCCTGTCTGTGATCCGCTCGTGCGTCAGTGCCAATCTGGTCAAGAGCATTATCGATGAGACGAGGCCGACGGCTGTGTTCGTCGAGCTTGACAAGAGCAGGTTCCGACTGCCAGACGGCAACGACGCCGCCCCACAAGTCGGGGTGAGCATCGATTGACACAGACAGACAGACAGACAGATGGGTACAGGTTTCTGTGAAGATGTGTGTGCGTGTGTGTGTGCGTGCCATTCGTTCGGACAGAGTGCTCGCCCAGGCTGGCTGCAAGCTATGGGCCAGTTGAGGAACATCATCCTGCGACCTGACGTCGTGAGTAGAGATCAGATGAGAACAGGACGACGGATGATCTCATCCATCCATCGCCCCACGCACATGTGGCATCGACTCTGCACACATAACCGCCTGTGTGTGCAGAGTTGGAGTGACAAGTGGAGGGACGTGAATGCCGCCGTGATTGGCTATGCCATCGGCAACCTCTACCAAACCATCGCCAAGCAGGGCTTCAAGCCGGGGTACGTTCGGTCCAAACTCACGCACTTCTCCCTCGACCGGCTGAATAATCAATCCTCCTCTGTTGTGTGCCGCGCCCTCTGTCTGCCCGTCTGTCTGTCCGTCTGTCTGTGTCTGTGTCTGTGTCTGTGTCTGTGTGGGTCCATCGCAGCGAAGAGTTCCTGGTGGCTGCCCTGGAGGCTGACAGGTACACACCTAGCCTAACGAGCAACGACAGCAGACATAAGGTGTCTGTCTGAACGACAGCAGACATAAGGTGTCTGTCTGTCTGTCCTCCAAACGAATGTATGTGTTAGGCTGAATGCGGAGCTGATATTGGGTGACCGTCCGGTGCGGACCACCCTGCGGCGGTTGAGCGACGCCCTCAACAGCATTGGCCTTAACGATTTGCTCAAACGCCTCGAGACCATCGAGTTCTCCCCCAGAGTGATGGTACACTTAACATGCTCTCGCACACCAAAGCACCCACGACAGCAACGCACACGCGCCAGACATGCCTGTGTGTGTGCAGGACGCCCTGACAGAGGCCGGTGTGGGTGACCCCAATGACATCGATCAACTCACCCCAGAGCAGCTCAGGTGCGATAGTGCACACACACCACAGCGAAACGGCCCGTTTTGGGTTCTTGTTTTGCTCGCTCCATGGATGGCTGGCTGGCTGGATGCGTTCAGGTCACTGGTAGAGGTGATCAAGCAGCCGGCGGTGGCGGAAGAGATGTTCGAGTCATTCAAGGACGCACTCCCTGAGGTAGGAAAGAGACTGACTTGTGCGAGATAACTAAACCATCCATCCATCCATGCATCCGGTTGAGGCGTACCTTCTGTGCGTGGGGGGGTGGGGTGGTGGTTGTGCAGGTGTACACCGTGATGATCCAGGAGAGGGACGAGTACATGGCCGCGCGCATACGCGAGAGCGACCAGCCACGGTAGGTAGCAGGGCAGGCACACCTCTCTGCAGAGAGTGGTGGTGCCCCTTTGTGTGTGTGTGCGTCTCTATCTGCTATCTGTCTGTTCGTGTGTGACGTCTGTCTGTCAGGATGGTGGCAGTGGTTGGTTTGGGCCACATGAAGGGTATAATTAAGAACCTGGGATACGAGACCGTTTCGTGCACGTCCCTGACGCGGAGGAGGCAAGAGGAGGAGCTGCTCGTGCCAGTCAACTAAACACCTAGTATGTAGACCTGCGGGCTGTGCTCTGGCGACCTGCTCTGTACTCGCTGCTCGTGAGAGTGTGTTTGGTGCCTGCTGAGAGACGCTGTGTGTGTGGGATATCTACCGGTCTTGGTGAATGCGTGGAGCATCTATCAATGTTTCCACAGCCTGATGCTTTGTCTCGTCAGTCCCACGCTGAAGACACTGATGTGCGTCTGGTCTGCATGGGCGTACTTACGCGTGTGTGGGTGTCTCTTCGAAATATGCACCCCAGTATGTATGGTCTCATCCTGGGACCCCTTAACGTACCGCCCTCTATTTGTCCCACGCTCTCGACGCACTCACTCGAGCGGCGCTTGGCCATCAACACGCCTCTCTCACTCTCGCGTGGATCCATCTGTCTGTCTGTCTGTTTGTTTGTGTGCACCTTGGTTGTCTGAAGGCGTGCAGATGAAGGGCACACACGCACACGTACACGCACACACATGCAGAAGAAAAACGATATCAGTAGCCAGGCACACCACAGGCATTGAATCAAGCAAGCATCTCACCGATTGAAACCATCCGCATAGCCAGAGAGAGGTGCGTGCGAGATGCGACAGATGGATGGATATATGGATGGATGGACATCCCGATCGGGGAGAAGTCCTTCGAAGGAGGCCACTTCGACTGCAATTGAGTGACAGAAGGCTCAGCAGCGTCGAACACGTGCAGCAACCTGCTTCCTGAGCGAGAACAAGCCGACCAGAGACGGTTTGGAGACGCAGATTGTGTGAGGCATTGGAGCCCCATTGCAGCGTGCACTCATGCAGCGCGCCGGAGGGCTTGTGTGGAGCACAGACGAGGCTGCAATGCACAAGGCGCATCCCGCGACTCATGTGACTTTAGAGGACGAGAGGGGCGATCTTCCGGGCCAAATCGTCGTTGAACTTCAGCAGCCATCCACCAGCTGCATTCGTTGATCTACGTCTCTCTGTCTGCAGCAAGACGATAGCTGCGTCCCTACGGTGTCAATCCAGCGCGATTGAGGGCTTTATCGAGCTGAGAGTGTCTTTTGAAGAAACAGATGCGTTTGTGTACGTGTTCAAGTTCGGGCGTGTTTGTGCATGGTGTGTGACATGCATGCTTGGGGTGCGCATGAGGACTGCGTCCTCGAATGTGCGTACACATTTGTGCACTCATCAATTCAAAAGGAAGCAATCCACTGAGATGTGCGTCGCCAACCACGCACTCACACCATAGCGAGCTGCCTAGGTTGTCTTATCCACAAAGCGCACCAACCATGACTGCTGCGCACCCACCACAGCTCCAATGGAATGCGTTGCCCCCATCCCTCCCTCCCTCACTCACTCACTCACTCACTCACTCAGTAGCCCATGCAGCAGCCGTCGGCCCGTCCGTCGCTGCCGCCCACCCACACACGCTGCCCGTGAGACACCGTTCGGTTGATTATCTGGCCACGACCGAACAAGGCCCTGTCCTGGCCCCCCACACCTGCACGCCACACCATCACACAACCAAACAGGACTACGCACGCACCGAGCCTTTACGCATCGTTTGTGCTGCGTCGTGCGGACGGGACATCCGCACCATCGTTGATGCGGTGGCCCATCTGCCTGAGTTCGTTGGCCACGTGCGGGGTGATGCCGTCCTCGAGGCTGACTGTGGGTGGGTCCCTCTCAGGTGTGAGGCAGATGCGGGGCTGGTCGAGGGCCGCCTGGGGGTCCATGCCGTATTCCACCTGATCCAGCAACAGCTGTACACATCCATCCATTCATCCACACACAAAGGGAAGGGGAGTTAGACAGACACGCAGACCATTGCACTGCATGAGTGCCCGCCTGGAGGTGTCCCTGTGGCTGCATAAAGCCGCCGATGTTGGTGTAGGTGCTCCACAGCTCGCCGTCCTTGGTCACCATGGCTGGAATTATGGTGTGGTACGGCTGCTTCCTCGGCCCGGCACAGTTGGGAGACGTCCGGTCCACACAGAAATTGGCGCCCCTGTTCTGCAATTGGAACCCCTCGCCGTCAGGGATCAGACCTGCAGGCCCAAATCAAATGCAGACAGACACGCCCCACCACCCAGCGACCTTTCCACGCCCTGACCTGTGTGTGTATTCTATTCGTTTGCGTACCCGTGCCAAACCCACTGCAGTTGCTGTTGACCATTGACACTGCGTTGCCGCCGTCGTCAACGACTTGGAACGACACCGTGCCTGTCCACCCGCACACCCACACAAAGACACATGCAGGGGTGTTGCACATTGGCTGATGTCCCGACTCACTTGATGATGCCACGGGTGTGCCGCATTTGATGGCGGGGTTCGCATGGTCAGGCAGGACGCACCTGATGCGGTCCTGCGTGTAAGCGTCGGACAGCAGACCTTCCACAGGACACGCCGGGCCGACTTCAGGGTTACCGATGTACCTGCACAACCACACACACACACACGTGTGATACACTGATAGCAGGTGTGTGAGGTTGGTCTGTTATTGTTACCTCTTTCCGTCTGCGAATGCGAGTCTGAGCGCCTCGATGCAGCGGTGCAAGTAGAGGGCGGAGTTGTGGCCAAATGAGCCAATGTCCAGGCCTGCGAGTGGATGAGTGAGTGGACTGACATACGGCACGTATCCCTCCACCAGCCAGTCAGCCGTCTACCTTTGACGATGTTCATGGCTAGGAGGGCCACGAGCCCCTGGCCGTTCGGAGGGATCTGATGCACCTCATACCCTGAACAAACACATAGAGCACACAGGCACGCACAGATTCATGCAGCATGAGAGCGATCACTAAGAGAGAGCCGTGGTCATTTCACCTTTGTAGTTGACACTGATTGGCTCAGGGAAGGTGGTCGTGTGGCTCGACAAATCATCCAGGGCCATGACGCCACCCTAAAAAACAACAAGACAGACAGACGCAGACGGGGGGGTGGGTGAATAAATACAGTGCATCCCCTGCCCCGGCTGCGTACGTGTTTGTTGACGCATTTGACAATGGCTTCGGCAGTAAGCCCCGTGTAGAAGGCCTTGGCGCCCTCCGCACCCACACGCTCCAACGCTGACGACACGACAGACAGACAGACAGACAGACAGACACGATAGATACCGCCTTTCTTCCCCTGTCTGCATGGCAGTGTCAGCTTACTGTCGGCCAGTTTGGGGTTTCTGAACAGCTCTCCTGCCCTCGGCGCCCTGCCGTCGATCAGCAGGGCGCCGCGACTCCTGATTGATTGGTGCCATAGGGTGCCACAGGCCTTTATCGTATGTGTCGTTGCATGTCTGTCTGTCTTGCCTTTCGTCATTTCGTTTGATGAATGCCTCTCCCCTCTTCCAGTGGTAGGCCGTCAAGGGGGCTGACACACGCCGGCCGCAGAGAGCGATGGATGCGTTCGTGGATCGGATCCATCGATCTATTGCGTTCGCTTACCTACAGCAAATCCCTCTCTGGCCAGTTTGACGGCAGGGGCCAACACATCGGATGGCGGCATGCTGCCCCACCGATCTGCACACGAGATCAGGCGCACAGCACAGCAGCAATGAATGGGTGGAGTGGTGCGTAGAGTAAGGCAGCTGCCAGCTTCTTACCAAGTGCGTCCATCCAGCCGGCAATGGCCCCCGGCACCGTCACGGAGAGGGCGTGGAACCTGTTGTCGCCCTCAAACGCGCCTATCGTCTGCTGCACGTACTCACACGTCAACCTGACGTTAGTTACAGCAAGCACCCGCACAGCACACCCATAGACAGACATACACAGCCGCCTCTCTGTGAGCATCTGTGTGTACTGTGAGCTGCTGCGTCCGCTGCCATCGAGCCCGTAGACCTTCTTGTCGCTGTTGCTGAAGTAGAGCATGAAACAATCACCACCGATACCCGTCGAACGGGGCTCAGTCACTCTGCAAAGTCAAATAGTGAGTACAATGAGCAGCGCCGCCCACTCTGTCTGTGTGGTGTGCCAGCCTTACGCGAGTGCGGCCGATACGGCGATGGCAGCGTCCACTGCGTTGCCTCCCTTCTTGAGGATGTCCAGGCCGAGGTTGGTGGCCATCGGCTGAGACGATGCCACCATGCCGTGCAGGGAGTAGACGGCCGAACGCCGCTGCAGAGGATGAATCAATCACATCGCACAGGCCAGATCTGACCTGTTTCTATGATGCAACTCTGTCTTACCGGGTTGAATTCCAGGTTTTCTTCAAGGTCCGCCATGCTCACACCAGCAGGATGCTTTGCAATTGCCCTGCGGCCTGCTGCCCAATCGTGCGTTTGTGAATTCTAAGCTCGCGGCTAAGCTCGCAGACGCGGAGATCTCCCCTGCCAGTTCCCTTTTCTCTTGCTTCGTTGGAGGAACCTGACAGACGCCAAAAGTACTTCGAAAAGCCATTGGATGCACTCCATCCTGTGGTGTCCACTTGAGGAGGTGTGTATGTGTGTTGGTCTGGCAGGCCTCCTGCTGCGGCGTTTTGTGCGTCATGTGGATATCGAGGGCCTGCAGGCCACTGAAGGCGGCGTGAGGCAGCCACTTTATTCGAAGGCTTTGTCAGCCGGGCCACCATGCATCTCCACATAGCATGGCCCTCCTGATCTGCTGCTCGTCAGCGGCCGCCTTCAGCCCCTCCCCCATCACCCTTCTTCATGATGTGTGTGAGCGTGATTCAGGATGATGGCAGGGAGTGGCTGGCTGTGAATGAGGTGGAAGGCGAGGCACATGCCAAGCAATACCTGCTGGCTCTCGTGTGGACGCTGCAGACGTCCGTAATCACGAAAGCAGACAAAACACGAGACATATGCATTTCAAATGTACGTGTGTTTCTGTGCCTCTTCTGTGTCTCGATCAACGCGACGCTCAGCATGTCGTCTGTCGGTCATGGCTCGCCACTGCTGACCACCCCCCAGGAGCGGCACTTCGCCGTTTGGGGAATGATCATCGGCTCATGCATATTCGCGTGGGACACACGCACACACGAAATTTCTGGTCGTTATGTGTCCTTTATGCGCAGTTACGGAATCACATCGTCGATCAACTTCTACAAGGAGATGTACGAGGCGCAGAAATACTTCCGACATAAGATGGACCTGCTGTACGAACTCTGTCAGAGCAAGAGTGAGGAAGCAACAAGACACGCACACGCACACACATCAGTACAAGACAAGGCTACCCGTTGTCTACGGATCTCGTTCAGCCATTCCTGGTCCCCTTGCTGCCCGAATGCGTCAGCTATTTCACCTTCAAAACAAGATGAAAAAGGGGTAGGTAACAAAGAGACACACAGAAAGCAGTGTGCAGTGCTCGCGTCGCCCTTTCTCTCTCATCAGCGGCGCAGCGGTGGAGACGCAGAGACACCACCGACCAGTCGCTCTTTGTGATGGGAAGACAGACAAAGTGGGGCCTTGCACGCGCGAGTACATGCCAGAAAGCATGAATTCACCTCATGCTTACTCCTCGATCGTCTGTCTGCCGATGCGTCATGCCGATGCATCATCCTGTAAGCAAAGACAATGAATCACTCCAATCTGCGTACAGCCTGTGTGCTTGGCTTCTCTGAAGATCGGGACGAGGGTCACGCTTCACTGAGGTATGCAAGCCACGAGCCAGCCAGCAGGCCTGTACTATGCACTGTTCACCACTCACTGGTTGGTTGGTTGCATGTGTGTGCTTTCAGGGAATCGACTGTGAGTGACGCGCTTGCTTCATGAGGTTGCCGGCAGACGAACAGTTGCTTCTCTGTCGGCCCGTTTGTTCGTTCAGTGACGTTCGCAATGGCACATATGGCCCAGCAGGAGGGGGAAGGTGAGCGAGAGAGCCGGGGAGCAAACGGCTGGCTTTGACCATTCGTCCATGCATGCTTTGCCTGCCTTGTTACACGTATGTATATCGCACAGATGTGGCTCGGAGGGCCTTCAAGCTGAAAGCCTTCGTCGAGCACCTGCAGGACTGCGTGTCGTCTCTCGGTAAGTACGCACACCAACACCACACCGAGTGTGCGTGGCGTGCACATCCGATTGTACGGCTGATTGGGTGATCGATGGTTCAGAGAGGTGTTCGAAGCCCGTGATCGCTGCGGTGCGTGGCGGGTGCGTGGGCGCCGGTGTGGACCTCATCTGTGCGTGCGACATCCGACTGTACACGCACGACGCCTGGTTCACCGTCAAGAGATTGACCTGGGGCTTGCGGCCGACCTGGGTACGCCGACGGACGAACCAACGAGCCGACAGGGAGGGCGACATGTGTCTTGTCTGTGTGTGTGATGAATTGATTGACCAGGGACGCTTCAACGATTGCCACGTGTATGCGAGGTGGGTAGGCGGATTGGTGAGAAGGAAGGAGAGGACCATCAGGGATGAATGGATCGATGAATGGATGGGTACACACGTACAGTTGTGCTCATGTCTGTCTGTCTGTCTGTCAGGTTCGTGAGCTTGCCTACACTGCCCGCCGGTTTGACGCACGAGAGGTACGTAGGGAGGTAGAGATGGAGGTGAGGGAGGTGCGGTACGGTACATGAAATGGGAAACTGTGGAGCGAATGACACGCAAGAGGCGATTGTTGTATGTGGGTGTGGGTGTGGGTGTGTCGGCATTCTCGAGTGAAGGCTTATGAGCGCGGGCTGGTCAGCGCGATAGAGCCGACGGCCGAAGCCATGAGAGGTATGCAATTGACGACCCGCCTCGCTGACAGAAGACACTGTGTTTGGTCGTCCATTCATTAGATGGTGCGCTCAAGTTGGCATCTGTGATAGCGTCCAAGAGCCCCGTGGCTGTCTGCGGCACCAAGGCGGCCCTCAACTATTCACGAGACCACTCTGTTGAGGTACGGATGTGCTTGTGTGTCTGTCCATGTCTTTACACCTGTGTGTGCGTGTACGTGCAGGACGGTCTGGTGATGCAGCGGATTTGGAATATGGCAGCGTTGCAGAGTGAGGACGTCGGCATTGCAGCTGCCGCTGCTGCACACATGGGGGGGAGGGGCAAGACACAGCCGACGGCCTTCTCGAAGCTGTGATTGATGCACGCACGAGTGCGTATGGATGGACGGGTGCTGATGGCTGTCTGTGTACGTTCGTGACGGATGGACAGACGCAGTGGTGACATCTGTCGTTGATGCGCCTGTGATTGCTGACGCGCACCTATCTCTCTGCCTTAAGGGTTATTCTGCGCCCGTCCTCACACTCAGCCGTCGTGTCAGAGTACAAGCAGGAAACACGCACATATATGCAGGCAGGCAGGCAGGCAGATGCAATGTCACGCACAGCGTCCATCCATCCATCGTCTCATGTGTGTGGAGAAAAAGAGGCAGCATTTGAGTTGGATGAATTGCCATGCCATCCACACACACACTCATTACACGTACAACGCGACAGCACCCACACCGTCTAGATGTAATTATGCGTTGATGTCGAAACGCATCCATCCATCCATCGACCACATGACCCATCAGCCAGCATCGACCAACACACGACACGGCCGGTGGGGAAACCGCAGGCAGTCAGACAGACAAGCAGGCAGGCTGTGAAGAGACAAAGGAGGGCAAAGCGAGAAGCCCCTGTTCTTTTCCCCACCCTCAAGAATGACCGACCGACAGGCCCCCTTTATCCCTCCTTGCCCAACACTCGTGCGTAGATTACATACCTGAATGCACACAAACGGCCTGCCGCTGGTGCAGTGCATCCAACGAAGCTTGTTGGTCTGTCGTGAGACGAACGGACGGCCTCATTCGTGGCCGATAGACGAAAAACCGTGGACAGACAGACAGACAGACAGACACTACAGACCTGCCCGCACCGACACGTGGTGCGGAGCGGTGCTGTGTGCTCACTGCCGGCCATCCATGTGCTTGGCCGACACGAACAGGCCAAGACGGGCGTATATACAATGCAATGTGGCAGCTAGGCAGAGTGAATGCATGTTGGCGCCTGTCGAGCGACGGACGCAATGTCATCCATCCATCCATCGTCACCCAGCCTCCCACTGCACGACTTAAAACGCACCGGATGGATGGTGGTTCTCGAACAGTGTTACGCAATCCAGTCAAGCATCCGCGGTCCTTGCCCACTGTCACACCCATTGATTCATCACCAGCAGCAGCAGCACCCTCACCTCTCACTCCATCCACCCAAAGCGTATGCTCCTTGTCACCCATCGGTGTCTGCCGACCGTTCACCGAGACGGGGTGCCACTCAATGAACACGTGGCAGACAGCGAGACGTAGTCAAAGCATACAGCAACATGGGACCGGGTCGCACGGCCCACCACACACGGAAAGTAGACATGGGGGAGAGAGAGAGTGGACACCACACACACACACACAAACAGACGCACTTACACACACAGACAGGCAGCGGCGAGGTAAAAATGTTTTGTGTCTGTCTGTCTGATTGATTGGCCGCATCTCGGTGTTCCCCCCCACCCCCACCACACACACGGTGTCCAATCAAAGCGAGCACACACACCAAAACACAAAGGCAGAGCACACACACAAAAAACACAAAGGCAGCCAGGCAGCGCGGGAAGAGCCATCTTGCCACCACACACAGAAGGGGAGAACCGGTCTCTGTCCGGCCAGTGTGTTTGCATGCAGTGCGGATCGCACACGGCCGGCCGACGGACAGCACACACAGCCACAATAACCCCAGTCAACCAACGCACCGTCACTCTCATGCAGGAAAAACTCTGTCGCTCTCTCTGCGTGAGAAGGAAACGCACACACGCAAGCACGCAAAAACTGCCACATGAGGGCGGGGCGGCTTGCAAACCGACAACACACTCACTCTTTCGCTCAAAGCCAAGACACACAGACCCCCGCAGTCAGCCGTGTGACGATGGAAGAGCCCCCGGCCAGGCCACACACGTGAGTGTGTGACGCACACAGCCGCCCACGGGTGTGTGTGGACTCGCTCCTACTCAATGCTGGTCAACCGCAGCTGAGCGTAGCGAACGGGATAATATCCGGCTGGCTTGATGATTTGCCTGACTTCCCCCTCCCGCATTGACAGCACAACGCCTCACACCACCGCCCACCCTCCCACAAATGTATCAGACACACGACGCACCTGCCCACCGACAAATATCCCAGCATATTTCCCGGGCACACTCATGGCAGTCAGGCAGGCAGGATGCAGTGATGGGAGAAAAGATGCGACACGCACACAAACACTGACTGACTCGGTGATAAAATCGCCCCCGAGTACGGCGACATTGCACCAAAACTCATGCATGACACACTCAATCCTTCCCTCAAAGCCGAGGCACGCAGGCAGCCAGGCAAAGAGGGAGAAGCCCCCTGTCGCACGCATGAGTGTGTGACCCACAGAGACGCCCACACGTGACTTTGTGCACTCTGTCCTACTCTAGTATGCTGACCAAATGCAGCTGGCGGTAAGGTGCATACCATCCGGGTGGCAGCATGACTCGCCTGACCTCTTCACCCCGCATCGACAGCACCGCCTCACGCAGCCACCCAACCGTATCAGTCACACAGCACACTTCCCCACGGCGATCGATGCGTTTGTCCTGGCCGTCGAATGCATCACCCCACGCAATGCCGTCGAACTTGACGCGGTCGTTGAGCGTCGTCACTCTGCCGGTGCCCTCGGTGACGATGCGATACCGCACACCAGATGACATCAGAGTGAAGCCGTCATTGTCGCTGCAAAGGGGGCAAATAAGCCAGACAGATGGCGAGGTGTGTATATCTTGTCCCTGCTCATTTTTCCCTGGCCTGCTGTGCTGTGGTGGTGGGGTTGGTGACCTGCTGCTGCTGCTGCTGCGTGCCGCTCGGCTGCGGTCCAGCTGTGCCGGCAGCTGAGGTCCTCACCGGCGCACCGCCGCTGTTGGCCACACTGACACACACACACCGACACGTGAGCGAATGCATTCATCGTGAATGGTCGGTTTGCTCGGGTTGCACACCTATGGCTGTTCGGCGTCCGCTCGGCTGTCGGCCGCTGGGGAATCCCACGCAGCCTGATTGTATGCAGCCAGCCAGCCAGCCAGCCAGCCAGCACGCAAGAGGGAGAGAGAGAGAGAGAGAGAGAGAGAGCGCGAGGTGACCATATCGGTTTGTGCAATGAGTATCTTTGATGGATTATGTACCTGGGGTCCTGCTCATCGCCTCCTGTCGTATACAGCGGTATGAGGCTGTCGACCGTCACGGCCGCCTTGCACATGGGACACTCCTTTTTGCCGCCGACCAGCCACTCGTGCAGACACGCCCAGCAATACTACATGGCACACACACCCATATTCCTGTGTGGTGCCTCGTCCGTCCATCGTGGTCTCTCTCTCTCCCTTACCAGGTGTCCGCATCGCGTGACGACCGGCTCCGTTGCGCCTTCCAGGCAGATGCCGCAGGCGAACAGGTGTGTGTGTGTGTGTGAGGCTGTCTGTCTGTCTGTCTCATCTCTGTGTGCATCCACACCTGGTGTGCCTGAGGGCGAGCAATAGAATGGCAGTCAGGCCGTCACGGAACGCAATGATGCCCCGCCACACAAACCACTAAGGCACCTGATGGCGTGAGATGACACAAGGATGGCCGCAGGCTTGGCCACGGGTGTGCTCATGTGCGCAGGCCGACCTCTCTGTGTCGTGTCGGCACGCGCACGCGCACACACGCCCACTGACCCCGACACCAGATCTGACACGCCAAGAATGAGGCGCAGCGTCATCCGGTGTGTCCACCGTGCTGCATGTGTGTGTGGGTGCCTTTCTCACGGCTCTGTCTGGCGGCAATGAATGCGGTGAGAGATCTGACGAGCACTGCCTGCACACATGTGACACACGCAGGAAGGTGACACAATCGGTGGATGCCATGCATGTGCTGTCGTTCGCCCGCCGGTGCCCTCACCGACGAGCCGCACGCAATCCGCCCGGAAGGTGCGAGCTGACCACTGTCAGTGAGGATCGGATTCATCGGTTTGGCGACTACGAGACCTTGCAAACGCTGCTGAAACCGCAAACCGAGCTGATGAATGGAGATCATGACGCCCACACCGAGAGAGATGCTGTCGAGGACCCGCTCGTGGACTATGAGGCGCTCGCCGCTTCGCTGCCCCGCCAGATGGCACATCCCACTCCTTTCGACGTGAGGGCAGCAGCAGGGATGAGCTGCTGCGTGTGGATGGTGAGGATGCGGCTGATGAGGGAGTGTTGACTGCGCTTGGCGAGCTGAAGGGGAAGGCTGAGAGTCTGCGGAAGAAGCTGGAGTCGCTCAACGAGACGATTGATGGGCCCAGCATTCATGTGGACAAGGTGGGCGAGGAGAGGGATGGGCGAGGCAGAGGCAGAGGGAGATAAACGTGCTGTGTGTGTGTGTTAGGGCATCTCGTATCTCGACGTCAAGGCGCAGCCATCCATCCATATCACGCACACACACACACACGTGTGTGTACTGATCTACTTGATGTGGTTCAGGTGAAGGGTGAGTCGGTCAGCCCCCACCCCGTGGTTGACGAGCTGGTGCTGCTGCGCACTCTGATGGAGAAGATGCGCCCCATTGACTAGCGCCTGGCATACCAGGTCAACAGACTGCTCGACATGGCCGCCAAACCAATCCAAGGTGACTCGACTCAGCCACGCACAATGCACCCACCCCACACGCAACAACGAAATCGTGTATGTGTGTGTATGTCAGAGGCGGCCAGTGAGGCTGCGCAGCCGCTGAGGCCCTGGCTGGACCAGCTGATGAATCCAAATGAAGCCGACGAAGAGCCAATGGAGCAGAGCGATGAGCAGGAGGGCGGAGGGGAGGTGCCTGCGGAAGACGGAGAGGGAGAGGGAGAGGTGGCTGCCAAGGGCGTCTACAAGCCGCCGAAGCTTCTGGCTGTCGAGTACACGGGCGACCACGTACGTGCAGTGCGCACACACAGCAAAACCACGGCATGCAGCGGTTGGCTATTGTCGACCTCCCATGTGCCATGGCTGTCTTGTCTCAGTTGTCGGCAGCTGCCAAGGCGCATCGCGAGGCGGACAGGCAGAGGGAGAGGCTCAAAAAGACCGAATACGTCCGCTCACTCAGACAAGAAATCTCTGACGTAAACACACACACACACACACACCGAACTCCTACTCATGTGTGTGTGTGTGTGTCTGCGTGTCTGTGTCTGGCTGCAGGTGCCTGAGGAGGTCGGCGGGTCCGATTTGCGTCGTGACGCCGAGGCGGCCGCGCTGATGAGGCGGCAGGTGGAAAGGCAGCAGATAGAGGAGGAGAGCTTCAGACGCATACAAATCAACAAAAAGGAAAAAAGAGGTACGCACATGCCGCCAGTCCACCACACAACACCCGTGTGTGTGTGTGTGTGTGTGTCTCCTTGGGCAGATTTGAAGCGTCTGCGCGAGAAGGGCAAGCTCTCTCGTGACAGCACCGGGATGCTGCTGTCGGACCTGACGAGCCTCGCCGACAGCACCATCGCCATGGCAGGCAGTGGGGCGTCACAGCGGGTCAGAGGCAGCAGGGGAAAGAAGACCGGTCCATCAAACAAGAGGGGAGGGGCGCTCGGCGACTACCTCGCGGCCACTGAGAAGGTAGGCCAGACCGTCCCCATGGCTGCATTTGATGTGTTTGTGTTGGGGTGTCTTATGTGTTGTGTGTGGATCGGTCAGTCTCGCGATGTGCTGAGGAGCACTCAGTCGGTGCCCACTTCTGCTGGGGAGGGATTTCTCGGATCGAGGAAACGGGGCAGCAAGGGCCAGGGTGAGACATCAAGATGGCTGGTCAGTGCGTGGCGCCACGCCGACGGGTGTGTCGTTTGTGTGTGTGCAGGTGGGCGTGCGATGGGCTTCAAGAAGCGCAGGCAGGACGTCAGATAGATGAGCCGACGGCTGTGTTGTTTCTGTCTTGACGTTCATTTCACATGGTCGAAAAGTGGCTGGCTTGCTTTGGACGTTATTGATCTGGTCAACCGTTACTGACAGTCCGTCCCCTGCTGGTGTCAGTCATGACAAAGCCCCCATGCAGAGCAGAGCTGCTCTACCTACTGTACACACGTAGAAGCATGTTCTTCCACACGGCACGGCAGCCATCCGCTGCACACCAAGAAAACACCAACACACACACACACACTCATGTATGGTATGGTGGCCATGACATCCATGCGCCCACTCCGCTCGACGACGGAGACCAGTCCACACACCCATCATGGGTGCACGGACTGATGCATGTCGGCGCACGGAGTGGCCGGATCGATGGCCGGCCGGCTGGGCGGCCGGCACTCACACGCCGATATCCTCGTTCCAGAGCCCCTCATTCCGCCTTATCCACTCACAGAAGTACCCCCGTATCTCAGCGTCGTCAAGCACCACCACCTCCACTCCTCTCGACCGCAGCAGCTCCTCACCCTTGCCCCTGAACGAGTGGTTCTCGCCGATCACCACCCTCGGAATGCCGTACAAGAGGATGCACCCGGTGCACATGTCGCACGGCGAGAGAGTGGTATACAGGCAAGTATTCTTGTACACGCTGCCGACCAGGCGGCCGGCGTTCTCGACGCAGTCCATCTCTGCCAAGCAAAACGAGACAGAGAGCGCATGCGATGCGCGGCAAACACGGAAGTGAATGAGGCGGCCGGTGATATGCATCATTCCGATGCCATCATTCCAACTGACCTGCGTGGAGCGTTGCTGACCGCTTCTGCACCCTGCAGTCAGATAGACACACACACACGCGACGATGAGTGAGTGAAGTCGACGTCGGTGCGGCCATGACTGTCACCTTTGATTGTGTCCGCGGCCCAGCACTTTGGGTGGGTCTTCGAGCAAGACGAGCACAGCTCCAATTGGGATGCCGCCCTCCTGAGCGCCCTTCTTTGCCTCCTCAAAAGCCATCCGCATGAATGCCACGTCATCAACCTCTCTCTCCACCATCACAAAGCGATAAATGGGCAGATTTCCTGCCAGAGTATCACCTGTCCTTGCCGTCAAGTCGTTCTCCTCCCATTTCGACGGAGGTGCCTTCCTCTCCTCCTTGAGCTCGCACGGAAAGAAGCTCCCCTTTTTCTCGGCTGTGTTTTCCCGTTTCCCCCCGCTGCAACGAAGCTGAGAGCCGAAAGACGCCTCCGCACCATCCGACAAGCCTCATCTCCCCGCTGCAGCCGTCGCTCCCGCTCCGTCGCCTCGTCGCATCATCCCAACCCATGGGTGACCAATCGCCCGATCACGACGCGCGAGGCAACGCCGGCTGGCACATCGCTGGCCGCTCGCGGCCGGCGCGCAGGCGGGAGATGAGGGAGGAGGTGACCATGGAGCACTCGCCGAGAGATTTCCCGCCGCGTGGTGAGCGAGACCGAGATCGTGACAGGGAAAGGGACAGGGATAGGGACCGTGAGAGGGACAGAGACCGTGGTGGTGGTGGAGGCCGGTTCCACCCTGACGATGTGCGAGAGAGGGACCGGTTCAGCCGCCCTGACGACCTGCGAGGAGGGGGCGGAGGGCAACAGCAGGTGTGGTGGACACACAGCACAGCGCCCCCGTGCTCTCACAGATACGGAGCCCTACACCAAGGGATGGACGCCTGTCTGTCTGTCTGTCTGCAGGAGGTCGGGCCCAGGGAGCGCGAGAGAGATGTGCCGCCCAGAGATCGTGACCGTGAGCGGCACGACCGGGATAGCTACGGCCGTGACCGAGATCGTGACAGAGACCGGGTGGAGAGGGAGAGGGAGAGGGACGGGCTGCCCCGTGACCATCGCGACAGGGAGAGGGAGCGGGAGCCGCCCATGGACCGTCGAAACGGCCCTGTGATGCGTGGGGGTCAGCGCATCAATCGCCGCCCTTCGCCATCGCCCGGGCCGCACCCCGCACCAAACGAAGAGGAAGAGGTCAGTTCAGTGCAACGCAATGGAATGCATTAATGGCCACGACACACATGCAACACATGACATGTGACTGACGTATGGGTGCGGTGCATACTGTGTCTGTGTGTGGGAAACAGGACGGTTGGCGTCCGCCGGTGAAGGATTTGGGCGACAAGTCGAGCCACCACAAGCTGCACCGTGCGTGGTGCTTGTGGTTCACCAAGACGGGCAACAAGAACCCCGCCAACTGGCGGGACGCACTCCACGAATACTACACCTTCGACACGGTCGGTGAGGCACTGAGCTGAGGGGGTGGGTGCCCTGCGTGTCGTCTGTCTGATGTGTCTGGTGTGTGTCTGTGTCTGTGTCTGGTGTGTGTGTGTGTGTGTTTGTCAGGTAGAGCAGTTTTGGTTTGTGTACAATCGCATCCGCAAGGCTGATCGCATGGCTCACAGATCGGGTGGGTGGCTGTGTGGGGAAACACACACATGCACCGACACAACACACGCGTTTTTCTCTGCCTGCCCGCCTGCCTGCCTGTGTGTGTGTGTGTTTAGACTACCATCTGTTCCGTGAGGGCGTCGTCCCCTCATGGGAAGACGCCGAAAACAGAGAGGGTACCTGCCGCACACACTCTCTCTCATGGCCCCGTCATTGCCCTTCACCTGTGTGTGCAGGTGGTCGTTTGATCGTCAAAGTGCCCAAGGACATCACTGCGGCCATCTGGGAGGACATGGTCAGTCGGCGATACAGTGAGACGGCCGGATGGCTTCTGTGCATGTGTGTGGGGGCGGCATTTGCAGGTGTTGGCGTTGATCGGTGAGCAGTTCCAGACGGAGGACCCCGACGAGATCTGCGGGGCCGTCATCTCTGTGCGCCGCGGGGTGAGCACGACAGCCAGCCAACCACCCGACACACACAAACACGCCTGTGGACCTGCCTGCTGTGGTGTCTGTTTCCCATCGATTCAGGAGGACTCGTTGTCTCTGTGGCACAAGAGCAAGACGCCGGAAGTCCGCGACCAACTCATGTGTGTGAGAGGGGCTGCGAGATACATACGCATGCACATGGTCTGTGGAAGGCATCTCACTGTCTGTGTCTGTGTGTGTCATCAGCGAGGCGCTGAAGCGCGTGCTTCGTCTGGGCGACAGCTTCGCCATCGACTGGCGAGAGCACTCCAAGTATGCAATGCACACCAGCCATAGACAGGCACACGGGGAGCCCACACACATTCACACGTTTCTCCACCCCTGCTCGCCTTCAGGTCTCTGGGTCTGGCCTCTGTCAAGGACAACCGCAGCCGCCCCACCCCCACGCCCCCCAAACACGGCGACAACGAGCCCCCCATCCCGCCAGGCGGCATCGAGCTCCCGCCCAGAGAGACACTCGACGACGACCGCCGAGCCCGCGACATGATGCGCGACAACAACATCGGCGGACAGCGGCCATACGGCGGCGGCGGGGGGCGGTTTCCACGCGGCGAGAGGGTGGGGGGCGGCTGGCGAGAGGGAGAGGGAGAGGGCAGACGCCCTCCCCCCGACCGCAAACAGCCGCCGTTCAACCGTCCGAACCGCCTGGCCTCCTTCGACACCCACAATGAGGCCGAGCCGACGCCGCCCAGCTCGGCCAAACACGCCCTCGGCGCACCGCCCCCGCCACGCCCTGTTGGTCTTGGTGGTGGGTGGGGCAGGGGCAAGGTGCTGCGGCCTGGCGGGATCGGCCGTGGGGGGGCCAGAGAGGCCGACAAGGGGGACCACAGAGACGAGGAGTGACCGAGTCAGTGAGTGATTTGAATGCGTTTCTTGGTGGTGCGATGGGCGGGAGGGCGGGAGGGTGTGTTGTAAGGTAGCCGAGGGGAGGAGGGTTTCAATTGATTGGTTGCGGCGTCTGTTGTGTGGGGGGTTGGTGTGTTGGTGGCTGCTGCTGCATTCCGGGAACGGCGAGCATCGCCGCGTGCCTCCTCATGCACACGTGTGTGGCGATTTGAGGATGGACTTGGAACGTCGAAGCGGCCGGCG